ATCCGATTTAGTCAGTATTCACTACTAGAAAACAAGGTATCAGTGACGAAAATCAGCGAGAGATTAGTGAGGGATCTAGCTAAAACCAGAATCCCTAGCTGATCTCTCATTGATTCTTTATTTAATAACTACAAATTTTATCAATTATTAATTTTTAATTATTGATTATTAAATTTTCAATTATTTATTATTTATTAGAATATTAAAAATTAATTAATAAACCGAATAAAGCCCATTAAGTCCTATTAAACCGGATAAAGTCCAATAAAACCCATTAGGTCCAATAAAACCGAATAAAGCCCATTAAGGCCCATTAATCCGGATAAAGTCCAATAAAACCCATTAGGTCCAATAAAACCGAATAAAGCCCATTAAGACCCATTGAACTAGATAAATTCCAATAAAACTGAATAAAACTCATTAAGGCTCGATAAACTCAATAAAGTCCGCTAAATGAATTAAGGCCCAATAAAACCCAACAAAACCCAATTAAATGGGTTAAGGCCCAATAAAACCGAATATAGCCCAAGAAAATGGATTAAGGCCCAATAAAAACCGAATAAAGCCCATTAAGGCCCATTAAACCAAATAAAGTCCAATAAAACTGAATAAAGCTCATTAAGGCCAGATAAACTCAATAAAGTCCGGTAAATGGATTAATGCCCAATAAAACCGAACAAAACCCAATTAGGACACATAAAAATGTATACATACGACAACTATATACTTATAACACATGCACATGTATACATATGACACCTACATATAAAAATATGTACATATAAAACATAAAAATGAGAAAATAAGAAAAATAGTAAAATCCCTCGATGATCAACGAGGGATCAGCGAGGGAATTGGCCAAAAATAGAATCCCTCGCTAATCCCTTGTAGATCTTTTGATGAAAAGATTCGACAAACAGAACCGAATATTGATGATGTTGAGCTTGATAGAATTCGGGAGGAGAGGTTTGCTGACTGGTTCTCGCACCACGTGAGTATATATATATACTGGTCATTGGTATTAATATACATAATGCAATGACGTACGTTATGTGTTTTTAACGTGTCACCTTCTTTTATAGGTCATGTTCGAGTTAAACGACTCAAATAAACAATTAAAATCCCTAGCACACAGACTAGGCCGTTATGTCACCACGCATCAGGGATACTTTGTGAATGGTTACAAGTTCCATACATTAACCCATGGATCCGTTCGAGTTACTCAAAATAGTGGTATATGTGTAAGGAGGGCCTGCTATGACGAGTGTGAGTCTGACTTCTATGGAATGTTAGATGAAGTTGTAGAGGTGGAGTATTATGGCTCAGTGAGATAGGTGGTTGTCATGTTCAAATGCACTTGGTTTGATACTGCCTCGGGGGTTAGAGTTGACCCTAAACACAGTTTGATAGATATCAAATATAAGTCTAGATTTGGATCCGACGACCCGTTCGTTCTAGCATCATAGGCAGAACAAGTCTATTATACTTCATATCCTTCGATGACAAAGGATTTGAAAGATTGGTGGGCAGTTGTCAAGACAAAGGCTCATGGCATATATGAAGTGTCCGACATGATTAACGATGTTGAAAACAATGATCAGGATTCAAATGATGAAGATGAACCGATGTTATCTGATCATTCTTCTGATGAGCAGCTTGTCTTCTGTATGCTTATTTCACAATTGTACATATAATCACGATTTGTCATTATCTTTTTTCATGATATAATGTAATGTTTTTTTTAGAAGATATCACGCCGAGAGCGTGGTAGAGGTCATCATGGTAGTTACAGCAGCCCCATGTCTGGTAGGGGCAGTAACTCTGCTCATGCCAATGACATTGTTGAGTTTACGGAGACCGCCTTTCGGGGTTTAGATGAACAAGAGGTATCCATGGAGCCCCCTAGCTTAGACAGGTTTGGGGTCGGGGAGAGGCCCCAACAACGAGATGCCGACACCGAGTCATCCGAGCCAACGAAGACATCTTTCTTTGTTAGGCAATGGGTAAGTAGATGTGGTATAAGTCTTTGTATTACATAATAAAATGATATGAATGTCTTTTGGGTTGTAAATATTTTTTTAATTGTACAGGTTTAAAAGATGCCCATGTTATCCGGGAGACGACTATAATTAGGTCTTCCTTTACTGATCCGTGACATAGATGGAAGGAAGTACCTCAGGAAGCACGTGACTTGATATTAAAACACTTTCGGGTTGGTGTACCATTTTAATGTAATTATACATATAAGGTTATTGCTTTTACATTTATACAAATATTGTGTATGTAGGCTAAGTTCCAGTGGGAATCAGAGCTGCATGACATGGTTCATGATTTATAGACCAAATCCATGCACAATAGATACTTGGATTGGATGAGCATTGCACGTGACTGGGCCATGGCACAAGCCTATCCTGATGCTCAACAATGGGACAATGAGGACTTCTAACGGATTAGACTACACTGTCCTGTATGGATACCAGACAGGTTTTGGCTTCAAATGATTGACCAGGTATGTATCTCTATTGTGCGCTTTTTGAACTGCCATGTGTTTTGTATCGTCTTATATATGTACTCTGTTTTTAACAGGTTTGGGATACCAAGCCCTGGAAAAGGAATTCTAGGATCAATAGGGCTAATCGGAACACACAATTTGAGGGGGTGTCGTCCAGACACACTGGGGATCGATCGGTACTGCACAACATCGAGACAGGATGGTGAGTATATGATATTTTTTGAAAATGTAATTCGTTCTTTATGTTAACTAACAACTTAACCTAATTGTCTAATGTAGGCAAAAAGTAATGGGTCGTGAGCCAACTGCTACTGAGGTGTTTGAGCGCATTCACTGCATAAACCAGAAGTTCGATCAAAGTTCGTCCGACCCGCCTACCGATCCTCCTAAGTTCAGTTACCCCAAAGTTGCTAGGTATAATATAAGTTTTCTAAAACCATTACTTACTTTGGTTAATAGATACGTTTGGTAGGTTTAAGGTAATATCTTTTAATAAACATAGTGATGCTTTTAGTTTGGGCTGCCATTGTTGGACAGACGTTAGGCTAAGTAGATAGGTTAAGAATGTGACTACCATTGGTATTATTAGAATGCTTTAATTGTTAAAAACAGGCATTGGCTATGTTTGATTTACAACCGTTATGCTGCTGAAATTTCTACATATATAACCTCACCCATTTTTGTTTTTGTGAACCATAGGAGTGATTTCAATTGCTTAGGGGTGAGTTACAGTCTAGTGCCGATAGCCCTCCCCTTGATGAGGCATTTCTTTGGGAGCAAAGTGTCGGAGGACGGAGGAAAGGTCGCATATTTGGTTTCGAGACCACCCAGGATCCCTCTTATGCTATGACGGGTAGATGTAGTAGTAGCAGGTCATCACATGAGTCAAGAGCGGAAGTATGTTGGTAATATTGTTATAAAATTTCTCATTACTTAAATTGTGAACAAATTACTGATTTTCTCGAATATTGAATATTTACAGGTAGCGGAGTTGAGAGAGAAGTTGGCAAGGGTAGAGGAGGAGGCACAGTTGTGGGAGGAACGCCATATGGCCGAGATGGAGGACAAACAAAAGAAGAGGGCAGATTTGAAGGCCGAACAGGCTAGACAAGCTGTTGCATTAGCCGAACAGGCCGCCTTATCGGAGCATTTTGTTGTGTTTACGTGGCAGTCAGGATACGTTTTCCCCATCCCTCACCTCCCGGTAGTTAGATTGTATGCATTTGAAGATTAAATTGTATGAATTGGATATTTTAAATCGTATGAATTGGTTAGTTTTAATTTGTTCACATTTTTGGTTTGTTATATTTTGGCCAGGTTTTGTATAACTAAATATAGGAATTATGTAATTTCAAAAAATTTATTTTTTAGATTAATACAAATTAGCGAGGGAAAATCTGTCACTGAAAGTCCTTGAAAATTCCCTTGTTGATCCGTTGCTGAAAGTTCCCTCGCTGTCGCTGAAAGTTCCCTCGACGGATCTTTATAAGACACTTCCATTAATCTAATATGACTTAGAAATTAAGTGTCCTATTAGATTGAGTTTTATAGGAGCTTCTAATGAACATTCTAATAGACTTTACAATGTAGGATACTCTTTGAAAAGCGTTCTACTAAAGTTTAAAATATAGAAAGTTTCTTGAAAAACGTCCTATTAGACTTTATACTAATAGCATGTTATATTAGGTTAATAGAACATATAAATTAAGTGTCTTATCATATTATATCAATAAGAACACATAAATTGAAGTGTCCTATTATGTTTTTTTACACGACACTTCTAAAAAGACTTCCAATAAACCTCTTTTTGCTTTAATGATTGAAAGGTTTGGTTTCCAACCAAAAGTTTATCATCAAGACACAATCGTCGAGGATGAATGTTTTCAACAAAATTTTTGGTCTAAAATGTCCCTTTGTTTTGTAGTGCTTCATAGACATCCTCATTTTGCAAATTTCTTTGTTTCCATGCTTCATTGATTCTTATCACCTTTTTCATGATTAGTTCTTATTTTATAGCTCATATGAAGCTTAAAGCGTGCAAACAAATTAGACTAGACTGCATTTTTATTATCCGATTTAGTCAGTACTCCCAAAGATGTGAATTTTTTTTTAAACCGCACTATTGATTTAACTCGTTAATAAGAGGATTATATCCGGCCACACCAGAGCCCCAACACCATTTGTTATTTGATGATTATTTAATTTGTATCTAGAATTATAAGTCTTTGTAAACTTTTCACATTGAATGCAAAATATTGTAAGTGGGACATTTTTATGATTAAAACGTTTACATTTAGGGTTTTAAATATGAACTTTTAATTTTCATACATCATCCATCCACATCGTAATACGTATAGTATAGAAATGACAACATTAAACCTTTGTTTAATTCAAGTGTTCATAGCTTTCAAATGTTGCTTTATATATCAGTCATCCACTTTACCGAAGCACCACCTTACCCTTTGCATACACATTCTCTTGATCAAACATGGTTGCTTCAAGAAAACTTACCACGGTTTATCCTTACCATTCTCCACCACCACCACCACCACCACCACCACCACCTGCCACCCCTCAAGAACTTGCTCACCCACCAAAACCTGCACCATATGGACCAAAACCTGCACCATATGGACCAAAACCTCCAACACCAAGTGGGCTAGGTATCCCACCTGAGGGATCGAAACCACCAACGCCAAGTGGATCAGCAACCCCACCTGAAGGACCGAAACCACCAATGCCATCAGCAAGCTGGCCACCAGAAGGACTGAAACCACCAACGCCAAATGCTCCCTACACTCCGGCACCATCACCACAGACAATTGGCGTACCGCCGTATCCACCATCCCCCTCTGTCCTTCCTCCATTGCCCTATAATGCTAACCCTCCAACAGGGAACATACTAACACCACCATCACCGCCAGGTGGAGGTGGCACGGACTACACGATTGTCATTGCGGTGTGTACCTCACTAGGGGGTGTGTTTTTCCTAGCATTCCTAGCCGCCGGACTGTTTTGTTTGGCCAAGAAAAAGAAGAAACCCATAATTGTTCCGCCAGTAGTCACCTATGGCCAAGAACCAGTTCCACATGGTCATGGAGCAACAACCGGTGAAGAGCATGGTCAAATGCAGTAGGTCTGTGCTCATGGTTAAAAACATTTGGTACCATAACAAATACATAAAGAGTTATAAAATTAGATCCATTGATTTATCGTACAATACGAATATTATCAGTTGACCTAATTATCATATTCTTTACATAGTAATTTTTGTGGTACCAAATTGACTTCATTAAACTCTGGGGCTCATTGTTGTGTGTTTATTTGTTGTGAATAGTATGAAACTTGTGTATTCGTCAGAAACATCAAGTGGCCATCTGCCATTTCCGTCAATAATTGTTAATGAAACTACAGTTTCGTTGTTTGGATTTATTTTAATTTTTATTTATGTGTTTTCATGATTTTTTTCAAATTTCTATTGATGAATTTTTTGAACTTAAAATTTTTTGAACATCTTAAATCATAACAAACCATGTATGTTACAAAATCATGTCTAAAATCCTCTTCATCTAATAGGATTTTTAACAAACCATGTATGTTACAAAAAGCACCCCCAACGTCCTTCTAGTTCTCATCTTCATCTTTCACCTTCCCTAAAAAACCCAATTCCATCAAACCTCCATATCCATCTTCATGGAAGCAACAACAATGATATCTTCTGTCAATTTCCATCACCACCGATTTCTTCCATTTTTTCAACAAGGAGCACAGATCAACGGATGGTTATGGTTAAAATTTTCTTCCATTTTTTCAAGGGATGAACAGAAATCGAGGTATGGACACAGATCTATGGATGGTGACGCTTTTCTTCGATCTTTTCAGATTTCAATTTTTTTCTCCGTTCACTGCAACAAAATCGGGTTTACAGGACACTCTCAATTTCTAAGCGTCCTAACAGACCTCTTTATAAAACTTAGTTTATATGACCAAAAAATAAAACGTCCTATCTAAAGGTGTTGTAATAAGTTTATATGACGTTTTTTGACGTCGTAATAAGTTTTTTATGACATTTTTAATATAAAGCGTCCCATCAACAACTTTATAGGACACTATATGAAAAACTGTCCTATAAAAACAAATGTCCTATAAAAATTGAGTCTATAGGACGCTTTCTCAAAAGTGTCCTATAAAGTTGTTAATGCGACACTTTATATTAAAAATGTCCTAAAAAACTTGTTAAGACGTCCAAAAGCGTCATATAAACTTATTACAACACCTTTAGATAGGACACTTTATATCTTGGTCTTATAAATTAAGTCATATAAAACGGTCTATTGGGACGCTTAGTGTAACATCTCATCCCACACATTACATGTAACACATACTTCATACATAAGAAATGCATGTTTATATACCACATTGGTCCCTTGGTACAAGAATTTACCAATACAGAATACATGGATCAAAAATTCAAAATACAATTCTTATACTATTCAATGTTCATCTAACAAAACTTTCCATATCATAGACAAATCTTCCAGCAAATATGCACATTGGAAAAATATTACATTTTCTTCTTCCCCTTACCGTCTACACCTCCTGCAATACATATTTAAAAATCACAAAAACGAGGGTTAGACCGAAAGGTCTAGTGAGATCCCTTTTTATGTCATTGAAGGATGAGAATCACCAAAACTTTGATTAAAATACTTTTCATATATAAGACAAAATATGAACAAGTATAACATCTTAATAGTACATTTTTTTTACTTTTCAAAGCCAAGCCTTCAGCTATTCAAGTAACATACTCCAAACTCTCATAGGTTTGAACCAACCAGGTTTCATATAATGCCACTTTTAAACCTTTTTAATTAAAACAAGGTTATTCAAAGTCTCAGGTCAAAACCTGTTATTTGCTCTTCAATAACATCCAGACTACGATTTCCAATAAGAACTCTAATTCTAAATCCTTAAATCACAAAGAAATAAAGATTCCAAATCACAGTAATCTTAAAGGATAAAATAGTAAGAGTTATATTATACATCACATATATAAATGTCACCCTTATATCCAAAGGTAGACCTCTCCTTGATATGCCACCCTTATCCTATGGTACATCTCTCCTTGATATGTCATCCTTATTTTCTCATCAAAACATTTAAACAATATAATTCCATATAGAACAGACCGCAGCCATAGATGTCCCAATGGAATATCATTAGTTCAAAATCATCTTTATCAAAAATTCCCATTCTTTTTAAAAGAATAACCAATTGATGATTTACATAAACAATGCACAAATCCCGTCAACACAGACTTGGCCGGACTTCATCTCCGGACAAGCCTTGGCCGGTTTAGCTAATCCGGTCATCAATATTAATCGTCCGGTTTACTAGTCCAGATAACATGTCCTCTTATCTGGTTTATGAATCCGGACAATTTGATATTTAAATCGATCAAGCCTTGTCCGGTTTACTTCTAATCCGGACAACGCATCATACGGAATAAAACATATCGGACAACTTGATTGTATTCCGACTTCTCCGTTCAAATCATCTGTCCGATTTACATATTTTCAAAATCTCACCAACACTCTAATCCGGTCAACACTATGACCGATTTTTCTTAAATCTGGACAACACTATGTCCGATTTCCATTCAAATCCGGGTGATAGTTTCTCAACACATTTTAGTATCTAAATCAAAGGAATTACTTTTCAATATGAAATAAGATGAATAATATTACTCACCTTAAAATTTAGCAAATGAAACCAACTTTGATTCCCAACTTATATGCAATCCGGATAGACTTCTCAAATCCTTCTCAAGATTTCCAAAAATGGCAAGAAAAAGATTGCATGAATAGCCTCACCCTCATATATATACTTTTCTAAAATAGTAAGGCGGTTCAAAAAGCTCTTATATGCATGCACATGCATGACACACCCCATGCATACACAAACTTCATAACATATTTTAGTCATGTATGTTCGCATTACGCATATATATTTATGCAAAAAATTTCACATACTTGCATAATCAAATATATCAGTTTTTCATGCCATCACGTAATCATTTAACAAATAATCACGTATTAATTACCTCAGGTGATAACCAGGATTCGGTTATCACATTATCCACCCCTCAAAAGAATTTCGTCCCGAAATTCCTTTAATCAAAGAGCCACGGATACTCTGATTTCATTTTCGATTCCAATTCCCAAGTTGCCTCGGATCCCTTGTGAAACTGCCACTATACTTTAACCAAATTGATCTTTTTGTTTCTCAATACCCTGATCTTTCGGTCATTCACAGCTTCTGTTGTTTTTACAATGTTCAGCTTACTGTCCAGTTTAACTTCTGGTAGCGGCACAGCTAGACTCGGATCAGCTAAATACTTTCGCAAGTTTGATACCTGAAAAGTGTTATGGATCATACTATGCTCTTCTGGTAGCTCCAATTGATGAGCCACTGGCCCAATTTGTTTACATATTTTGAATGGCCCAACATACCTTGGACTGAGCTTACCTTTCTTTCCAAATCTGATGACACCTTTCTATGGAGAAACTTTTAACATTACAAGATCACCCACACAAAACTTTATCGGCTTTCGTCGATTATCTGCATAACTTTTCTGGCGGTCTTGTGATGTTTTGATTCTTTCACGGATCTGTTCAATCTTTTTAGAAGTTTCTTGAACAATCTCAGGACCCGTTAACTGTCTTTCACCTACCTCGTTCCAACACAACGGTGTTCGGCATTTACATCCATATAATACTTCATATGGTGCCGCTTGGATGCTGGAATGGTAACTGTTATTATACGCAAACTCTATTAGTGGCAAATGATCTTCCCATGATTCCCCGAAGTCAATAATACAACTCCTCAACATGTCTTCAAGAGTCTAAATGGTTCTTTCATTTTACCCGTTAGTTTGCGGATGATAAGTTGTACTTAATCGGATTTCATACCCCAGGACTTTCTGCAAACTTTTACAGAATCTCGAGGTAAAAGTGCTATCTCTATCGGAGACAATAGATAGTAGAACCCCATATCTGGTTACAATCCCTTTAATATAAATCTGTGCTAGCTTTTATAAAGAGTAACCCTCTTTTATAGGTAGAAATTTAGACAGGCGATCCACAATTACCAAGATTGCATCATACCCCTTTTGAGTTCGAGGTAACTTCATGAAGAAATCCATTGTAATGTGATCCCACTTCCACACATGAATCTCTAAAGATTGAAGACTTCCATACGGTTTCTGATGCTCGATCTTAGCCTGTAAACAAGTTATACATTGTTCCACATATCTGGCTATGTCCTTCTTCAATCCGGGCCACCAATAAAAAGATTTCAGGTCTCTATACATTTTATTAGTGCCTGGATGAATAGATTAACTGTGACACTCCAAATCTCCACACATTGCATATTACATAGAATTCATTCATAGAATACATAGATTCCCACGTAGGTCCAAAATTACAAGAGTCTGTGCTACAGGTTATGATACAAATTTGCATAACTTAAAATTTTCAAAATACATGCATTTGTAAACTAGCATCGCTCTTCTCCAAAACACATCTAGATWTGGTYTTCAACATTTAAGCACATAAGGGAAGTAATCATATAATGCTTTTTCCCTTATCGATATTATAAATGGTATTACCTGCACAAATATTTTTGAAAACACCAAATGAGGGTTAGACAAGAGTCTAGTGAGATTCCCTTTTTCATGCTATGCAGGGTGAGATCACCAAAAACATTTATCAAAGAATCTCTCAATCATAATAAGAATAATAAAAGAATCGCATCATGTTTAAGTCCATCGGGCCTCTTGTTCAAAATCCCATACTTAGAAAAATAATGATTTTCCAGTCCATCGGCCTCTGGTTCCAAAGTGTCCATCGGGCCTCTGGTTCCAAA